ACCAACTAAATTTCCATGTGCCTGGAGAGCTCAAGGGCTCTTTGAAACCCTGATATTCTATGATTCCCTCCCCATTCTGACTCTCAAAAAACGTGATCATTTTCTCAGTAGCCAAGCAGTAATTTTAAGAGAACTTGTAGTGTTAAACCTCTCTTTAACCAATGAGAGGTCCCCAAGAGGATAATCATAATTACAGTTTTACAAGCTATTTTGTACTGCAATTTTTAAACATTTCTTCTCTTATCATTGTGTTGCTCTTCCTACTTTGAAATACATAAATGCAATTGGAATTAGGGGAAGCTAACTTGAGAATATATGAATAATTTGACTTCCCACTCCCTCTAGTGTATCAGTAAATGTGATATATTTTTCCTTTGTTATTCTTTTGAAATGCATACTATCACCTGATCATCCAAGTTGGTCTAAAGCAAGAGCCCTGCATGTTCATGTACTTTTTGGCAGTGCAAATGCTGAAATTATTCTGTGCAACTTTAGTATCTATCTTTTGGCCATTCCTATTTCAAAGGAGTATAAAATTTCAGGACTGCAAGATTTTAGTTCATTTGGTTCAATCATCTCATTCTACAGATATGAAAACTTAGGCTGAGTGGTGTTAAGTGACTTGCCCAGGTACCACAGAGACAAGTAATCTTTTGGGTCAGAACGACTTGCTCTAAAAACTAAATAAGGCACCTTTGAAATTGCAATGGAAAAATAGTTCTCGATGCCAGAAAATTAATTGAATGCACCAATAATTGCAATATGCAATTCTAAACTATGTAACTTTACCCAGTTTATTTCCATGATACTAATTTAAGCATTAACAATCTAAGGCAAATACAGCAAAGGATAAAATAATTGATAAATAGGTGATAGAGTTTGGATGTGTTATCCCCCCAAAACTCATGTGGAAGTCTGGTCCCCAATGTAGCAGTGTTGGGAGCTGTTTGAGTCATGGGGGTGGATCCTTCATGAATGGATTCATGCTTCCCTGGGGGCTGGGGGTAGTGAGTTCTCACTTTATTAGTTCCTGTGAGAGCTGGTTGTTTAAAAGACCCTGGCACCTCCCTTCCCTTTCTCTTGCTACCTCTCCTCTCACTGTGTGACCTGCTTATAACTGCCAGCTGCCGCTTTCTGCCATGAGTAGAAGCAGCCTGAAGCCCAGGCCAGATACATCTGTCCCAGAATTGTAAGCCAAATAAACCCCTGTTCTTTATAAATTACCCAGTTTCAGGTATTCTGTTATAGCAACACAAAAAAATGGACTAATACAATAGGAAAATAAAGTCTCCACAGGCACCCCAACAAATAAGAGTCACAAATCACAACAGAGTAAGAATTTACAGGTCTCCTGAAGTGAACCATTCCCATGGCATCTACATGAGGAGAAACCACATTATCAGAGTTGGTTCTATATTACCCATGACTTCTGCTGTTCTTTTGAGAATGAGAGATTCTTTTATTACCTAATTTAATCATTTTAAGAAGCCAATTGGTGTTTTTACTTAGATATGTGCACTTTCTCTTTCTGCTAGTAAGTTTATGCGAAGGTTATCATGCCAGAGGAATGTTAAAGGCTACACTAACAATGCTTCATTTTCCTTTAATGACTTGGTCCAGAGGATGGAGACATTTTTGTGGTGTGATGAATTCACTTGGTCTCCTGATGTGTTTTCCCCACATGCTTTGGAAATCACTTATTTTTCTGAGAGGTCTTTGTCATCAAAGCCTTAACTTCAGCAACAGCTTCACTGTTTTAAATCTGATATTTTAGGATATTTGATATTAATTTAATGGAAAAATATTTTTGACCCTTTGTGTACAGCAACGCTCTCAAACTACAAGCAAAGTTATGGCTAAATCAACATTCAAAAAATGGATTTTAACATATTCCAGGAAGTAGGAGCATTAGGATAACCCACGCGACTTCAGAGCTAAGATCTCTGCCAACAGCACAATCCACAATTTCTTAAATTTTTAAGTTCCCTGTACCAGTGCCCTGTTTAGCTCGATTTCCTTTCTCCATACCTCATTTTCTTTAATTCCTATTGTGTGTGATTTACATAGATTACACACTAGTAGCCTGAGAGTAAGAAGAAGATCTTCTATTCTGGTAAATTATGTCGAATATGGTGTCTGTCTGATGCAGGTGAAACTCCCATGCGAGAACTACTATGGCAACATTAATTGAACGTAACTATAATTGAAAAGATCTGCTTTGAATTATATTTATTTAGATGTGATAATTTTCTCTTAACTATTTTCTTGGCAATGAGCTCAAAAGAACTTTTCAAATATTGTATAAACCAGTCTTCCTTTTTAAGAACTTAATGACAATTCTCTCTATTACTTTCCTTTATTCTGCACACTTTGCCCAGCATTGAATTGAGCCCTGATTTACACATTATGCTGAGCTCTCATATCCTAAATATATTTATTCCTTTGGTAGTTTAAGTATTTGTCAAATACTGAAGTGTTGGGGAGATTAAAGAGAACCATTCACGAAGTTAACAGAAAACTCAACTAGAAGCCACAGAGGAAATAACCAATATGTTGTTCATTGTAAACAACATAAATAGGAGGAAGAAAGGGATTATTTCAGAATGCATACATTCATAGGCAAGAAAATAACTAAAGGAAGGCTTAAAAAGACCTGGTGAAGGTTAATAGTTGAATCTTTATAAATATTTTATATTTGACGTAGTAGAAGCGCATGTGAGCATGGATAATCAGTTTTCTTCTCTAAGCAGCCGAGAACAATGTTAAAAATTTAAGACTTCAGATAATATAAAGAGTGCAAGCAACCAAAACCATTGTCTTACAATTGTATTATTTAAAGAATTACATCTGTATCGATCAATGTGAGAGTTCAATATTGGGGGAGCAAGATTTAAAAATGAGGAACATGCCAAAATCCCCAGGAAAAGTAAATACAGGATGATCCATAAAAAGCCTTCAAAAAGGGAAAAGTTTTCAGTAACAAAGACATAGTCGTTAAACGCCTGAGCTTAGTGAAAGGAGTGGGAAAAAACTACTTGCAGACCGTCTCTCACTGCTTCTCGAATGATTTGTTCAAGGGCAGGGTAGGGATAACAGTGTGCGGGACGCCGGGGAAGAGTCGGTGTTTCGCCGTCCCAGAAAGGGTTCCATGTCCACACTCTGGCATCGCGGTCCTTTGGGGGAGCGGGTCTTTCTGACCTCTCCATTTCCCTTCACCATTCTAAAAGCACAATCCGGCTGAGATCCCTGTTCACTACAATTCCTGAAGAAAAGCTTACATCGGGCAATCTCTGTCCTGGAGTTGAAAACCAACTTCCAGCGTCGGTCACTGAACCCTTCAAAAATGCTAGCCCTCTCAGCCTCATTCCTAAATAATTCAAGTCCGGATTTTGCACACCCTTTGGTTCTCAACTCATTCCCACAAGTCTCCCAGGTACGCCCGCTCTAAGGCCCGCCGCGTGGCTCAGCGCCGCCGGCGCCAGGCCCTGGGAGCCGCGCACGACGCTCCGCCCCCTGCGAGCGTGGCGGAAGTAGCTTGCGCCAGACCAGAGACCGCGCGCCACCTGGTCGAACGCGCATGCGCCCGCGCCGCCACTGGTGGGGGCATCCGTATCGTTACCTCCTCTGTCTCCTCAACCCCCGCCCCACAGAGTCTGGCTCACGCCATTTTGCGCCCCCCCTCCACACAGCCGAGTCACCTTTTTCCTTTCTGCACTCTCTGCCCACCCCCGCACCCATCCAAGCGTGTCCCGGGCCGCAGCAGCAGAAACCGCACCATCTCTACCCCCTCATTCTCCACGCGGGACGCGCAGCCGTGCCTACAAGTGTCCTTAAAGCAGAGGTTGTAGAGGGTGTGGGGGAGGGTGTGGGGGTCGGGGGGAGAGGACAGGGAACCGGAAGGGACGCCGCGCGGCGAGCCCCGCGTCTCTGTGCCCCTGCGCCGGCCACGCCCTGGCCCCGGTCCGAGGGCGGCCGCGGGGGAGTAATTGGCGTCTGTGCTGCAGGGCTGAAGGGAGGGCGGCTACGTGAGGCGTTGGCCCGGCGCAGCTCCCGGTTCCACAGCAGAGTGTGGCGTTGACTCTTGACTCCTCCCCGTCGGCGGGTGGGCGTGGGGCGGGGGGAGCTGGGCAGTGGTGATGCTGGGTTGTGCTAATAAGAAGAAGCACCTTTCGGCTGTTGTTGGGGGTGGGTTGAACCCTTAAAGAAGAAAATAGTTGTTTTATGGCAAGATGGGAGATTTAGGTAGTGTTAGTGGAAGAGTATCATCCAGAAAAAGAAAAACATCGACTGTGTTCTCTGTTGGGTGAATCCACGTTTGTGACCCCTGGAGAAATTACGTAGCTTGTTTTTGCCTGTTTTCTGGTGTGTAAAATGGGGATCCCAATAGCCCAGTTCAGAATTGTGAGGGTTAGGTGAGACATTACACCTTAAACGCTCCGCGCGCCACCTGGTCGAACGCGCATGCGCCCGCGCCGCCACTGGTGGGGGCATCCGTATCGTTACCTCCTCTGTCTCCTCAACCCCCGCCCCACAGAGTCTGGCTCACGCCATTTTGCGCCCCCCCTCCACACAGCCGAGTCACCTTTTTCCTTTCTGCACTCTCTGCCCACCCCCGCACCCATCCAAGCGTGTCCCGGGCCGCAGCAGCAGAAACCGCACCATCTCTACCCCCTCATTCTCCACGCGGGACGCGCAGCCTCAGCCAGTGAGCGGGAACTGGTCTGTATGTGGGATCCGAACCCTCGGCGGGAGCGTCGCTGTGCTCCCAAGCTGCGCACTGTAGCAGTGCGCCACGGGCCGGCCACCGTACATCCGCCTTGGCCGTGCGCCACGGGCCGGCCCAATTACAGTTACTTTTGATCTCCATGTTTTAAGAGTTCAGAGTTACTGACCTTATTTTTCTGATTTCAATCAGAACACTTGGTCCTAGAAGTGAGAGGGAAGTTATGGGGACAGTGGAATATAGTATCTGACACTCAGAGATGATCCTGGCCATAATGTTATTGTACACGTGGTAAGTTAGCATATCTCCATGAGGTTAATAGAAACTTATATACTATTTTTTTGGAAGTAAATGAGTATGTATTTATGTGGGAGAAGACCTGAGGTCTCAGTATATGTGAGAGGCAGACCTTGGAAGAAGAATTAAATTCGCTCTGCAAAGATTTATCTGAAGACCAAATAGAGGATGGTGGAATTTCTGGTGAATGTTCTAAAGAGGCTGACTTTGACTGAATGGGAGGAACAATTTCATGATAGTACTTTGCAGAAATAGAATGCATTTCATTGTGCTATTGTGTGCCTAAGTCCAGAGATGCACTGTTTAATAGAACTTTCTGCCATGATGGAAATGTTCTGTAGTCCACCCCAATATGGTAGCCACTTGCTACAATGGCTCTTGAGCAGTTGAAATGTGGCAGATGTCACTGAGGAACTTAATTTTTAATTTTATTTATTAATAAATTAATAAATCTAAAATTAAATTTAAATAGCCACCTGTGGCTATTGGCTACTTTACTGGGCAGCATAGGTCTAGAATCTGGATTTTGAGAGCCCTTCCAATTCTTGATTTGGTTGAATTTTAAATCAGAGAAGCGAACTCTTGAAACATTTATTGCCTTAGGGAATCATAATTATATTCAAATAATTCTTTTCACTCAAATACTATAGTTCAAAGTATTGGTCTGTTAGTACTTATTTACAGCTTGACAAATTAAAGCAAGGCATTCTTTTAACTCCTAGGTTGTACAGCTAATGCCAGATTTAGTGGGAGAGCCATAACAATACTAACTGGAGTTTTCTATAATTATTGTACTGTATGGTGATCATGAATTGCCACTATTTTTTTTTTTTTTAGCCACTTAGGTTAGTTTCACTGAAAACTTTTCATCTCTTTTGTCCCTGAAGTTTTTTCTATTTGAAAGATGGTACTTTTTTTTTTTTTTAACTTTTGTATAATAAAGCAATTTGATAAATTGTAGTAGTAACCTTTGAGCATTGGGACATTTAAAAAGTAGTTTTGTGGTTATCTGTATTCAAAATTTTTGAAGTGAAATTTGGTGATAGATGTTTCACAGGATTACTTTCTTTGAAATACTTGCATCTGTTTTTCTTTTTCAGGCAAGTGTTATAAAGCTTGAAAATAAAACTTTAAGAAAAACTTTATAGATAGCTCCCTTAACTCTGGCCTGTTGAGTGTATGATGGTGCCCTTGGTCTTCTTGATAATTGTTAGATCTGAAACTTATGCATAAGTCTTATGCAGAGAATCAGAATGAGTTGCTCTTATGTAGGGTGTACTGTAATTTTTCTGGGACAGTCATGGTTTAAAGCCTGATTATCCCAGCATAATTATTAATAGAGAACCCCTTTCACTATCTTAAACATCCAGTTGGGACCACATAATAATTCGTTCACTCTACTTTTAGGCTTGTTGAAATTTGTAATATATAGTTTTAGAAGGTTAGCCATATTTCAGTCTCAGAAATATACTTCAGAACAGTGACAAAGTTAGTTGCTTTTGTGCTTAAATAATAGATGAGATATCTGGAATAAGGCCAGCAAGTGACTTGTCTATTTAAGCCACTAGTAATTAAAAAAATTTTCTTTGGATAGAAATCTTGGGCAGCTTGTTTTTCATACTCGCTGAAAAAATGATCTTTTGGTGTAGGGGGCTGCAAAGAAAGTTAGGCCATGTTGGTCATACCAGAACACTGAGTATTTTGAAATGACATGTTTTATTTTATGGTGAGGTCGAATAGTGAAATCAGTCAGAAATTTGTTTATTATGTGTTAAAATGTTAAAGAATTTTGCTTATAGTTCACTTAATTAATAAGGATAAATAGTTCAATTAAATGCATTATTAATTAAATTTATACTGTAGTGTATAAAATATTTCGAGAGTCAGTAACACTTGGTTTCAGTCCTCACTCTGCTACTTACTATGTAATTTGCAAGTTACAGTACTTAATGTAAGAAGCTTAACTTTCCTCATTTATGAAATGAAGATTGTAATAGCATCTACTTCTAGAGTCATAAGGATTAAATGAAATAACTCATTTGATGTATTAGGTGTGAAGCTCAATAAATAATAGCTACTATAGCCTTATGTTTATTGAATAATAGCTCTGGGAGAGAGATTAATGCTGTGATATATACTGTGGATTAGTGGAAAGAACACTTAAAACCAGTTCCTAAAACCTAGCTTTTGCTCTTTTCTGCCGTATTCTCTTTGTGATTTCAATTAAGGTATTTAACTTTTCTGAGCCTCAATTTCCTCATCAGTAAAATGGAATTAGTGCCTAACCTCATCCCATCTTCTGACAGGATTGTTGGTGGGCATCAAAAGAGAATTACATTTATACATTGTTGTCTTATTTTACAAATATTTTAATATTTCATTGGTTTTATCACATCTTCCTACTACCTCCAGTGAAGAGTGACCATAAATCTGCAAATATTGTTGTATATTTTGTGTAACAGCACAAATAGTGTATAATAGGCACCATTATTGAAGACAATTCTCGTTTACAAATAATATTGTAAGTCACGGAAATGATACTTCATTGATCTGGTTATAATATATTCTCTAAACAAAACAACTCCATACTACTGCTAAGGGAGAACCAACATTTTCTTGAGCACTTGATGTGTTCCAACTACTGTGCTAAATACTGCATTTCATTTATTTGTCCAAATATGTTATTCCAACCTCATAGGTAGTACCCACAAGGCTCTTATTTTCTGGAATGGATGTCAGGTTTTTTTGCACTATAGTACTGGCTCTGATATCTGGCTGATAGGTAATGGATATTGAAGGTTAAATAAGATAATGAACATGAAAATAACATGCTCTTTGGCATATAGTTTGTGGTAATTGAGAAAATTCTGTATTGAAGTCACAGAGCAGTAAATTGAAATTAAGTAAATGTATTTTATAAAGTGTAAAATACTATACAAATATAAACCTTTAAAAAATCTTGAAATTTGCTTTTGCTATTTTAAATGCTATAGTACTTTTATGACTGAATCCTCTATATTTCACTTTATTTGTATTATGTTAGTCTTTAAAAGATTACTCTTAATCATAGCTTTCTTTCTTTGAGAATATACAATACTGTTTAATGATAATTTTTTGTGATGTTTCAAGAAGCTATAGTTTTGTTTGGAGTCATTATCATCATCATTGTTAGCATGAACTGAGTGCTTTATATTTACCAGGCACTGTCCTAAGTGCTTTACATACATTATTTTATGTAGCCATGAGAAGAGTATTTTTTAAAAACTTACCTTTCCTTATATTAGGTTTATTTTGCTATTGTTTGTCCAACTTTTTTTTTTGTTGGCCAGTACAGGGATCAACCCCTGGACCTTGGTGCTATCAACACCATGCACTAACCAACTGAGCTAACAGGCCAGGAGAGGAGTATTTTTAATCTCTGTTTTAGGGATGAGGCAACTGAGACATGGAGGTAACATGACTTGCCCAAGGTCACATGGTAATTGTTAAAGCCTGTATTTGAACTCCAGAGCCCAGCTCTTTACTGGTACGCTGTTGTTTGGCATAGGCAGGTATTTTACAACAAAGTTTACTATGACAAACACATTGTGGAGATCTTGTGAGTTAATTATAATAAACTTTTATTTGTATATTCTTCATTGTAAGAACTCTGGACCAGGAGTCAGGGGACCTTTTAGTCCCAGCTTGTATCAATAAATAGTGATATGTCCTTGGGCAGTTCAAGAAACCCCTCTGGACTTCAGTTTCCTCACCTGAAAAATGAGGAATTTCGCTGAAATTAGTGTTTTTCAAACTGTAGTTCTGAAGCCTGTTCAGATATCTGTGGTTCCTGTTCCCACAAATTTGCATAGTTGTACTTTTGTCTATTACAGTTGTTTGTTTATCCATCAAAGCCTGTTTTTTGGTAGGTTTGTGACTTTCAGCCAATATTTTTACTCTTAGTTTCCTCATTGGTAGAGTGAAATACTTGCCTTGTATGGTGCTTGTGGAAAAAGGTGAGCTAATACAGGTAAAAGACCTTTTATAAACTCTAAATTCATCTAGTTTTTATATGCCTACAGTTAATCTCCCATTTCTTTTTCTGTTTTAAATTTATTTTTATTTTTAAAAAAATTTTTATTGGAACATGTTGACTGTATGTATTTATGGGGTGCAGAGTTATATTTCAGTACATGTATACAATGTGTGATGCTCCAATCAGGGTAATTAGCATATTCAACATTGCAAAACGTAATCATTTCTTTGTGATGTGAATATTTCTTTTTCTTTTTATCACGTAGGCTATGTTTTCAACCACATCAGTTATTTTGTTGAATTGTTTATGTTTGATATAGAATTCTTATAAGATTTAATGTTTCTAAAATGTGAATCTAGACTGGAAGAATATTTTGATGTTTAAGGGACCTGCTCCTCTTTTTGACATCCTTGTCAAATATGCTTATCTCTTACTCTTGGGAATATAATTGATTTCCTAAGTTTTCCACATCTTTGAAAAGTTAACCATTAAGTAACCCAATTTTATGTAAAAACAACTGATTTTTAATATTGGGAAAGTGGTCCTGTTCTGTGCCATTTATCAGGGTTTGGATGTTGTGTATTTTAAGATCTGGTAGGCACATTTGCAGTGCACTTTAAGGACCATTTTTGCAAAGAGTAATTTTTTTGTGGGAGGGGAACTCAATTTTTCTATAAAAGAGTATTGGATAAGAAAGCTCTTGGAATAGAAACTTACAATAATATGAAACTGAAGAAGAAAAATATGATAATAGAACCTCATGTGTCCCTGAGCAGTCTGTTGCTGGGCTGCTAGTAAATTAAAAAAAGTAAATTGCTCATGTATCTAACTAGGATATAAAAAGCAGTTTATATGTTTCTGTGTATATCTACCTATCATCTAGAGAAGAAGAGAGAAAGGGGAATAATTTTCATAGTTTACTAGGTGTTTTGATATTATTTTCAATTCAAGTATATTTCTTTGAGTGCCCATTACGTGG